TACACTAGGTATTTACCCGCTCTACGCTGCGGAATATTTTTCTAGATTTTGTATATATTTTTAATATCATAAAATTATTTTTATAATGTAAATGAGTTTTATATTTATTTTTTATTAGCTTAAGTTATGTATTTATATGTTTTAAATCTGAATTTATATATCCTTAATTTTTTTATTTTTCAAAATTATAATCTACTATCAAATTTGTTTAGCTAACTATCTATATATGTATATGTAAGAATAAAACAATACATTTTTAAATACTTTCATGCTAATGGCAAATGTAATTTATTTTCTCTACTAAATTACCACTTGATCGTCCTTTGAAATTGTATAAAGCAAATTGACATTTAAAAAAAATATTAATTAATATAATTATTTTGAATTATAAACTTAATTTATTTATCACCTATTTATTATAAACATATATTTTTTAAACTACCAAACTATAATCAATAACATTCATATCAAAACTATTGTTATTGCTTTAGAACTAAATAGAAAGTTCAAGTTAAATAATTCAATTTTGGTTACTATAAACATATTGTAACTTGAAAATTTAGCACAGAGAAATTTTATCTTTTTACAAAAACTGAGAAATTATATTTTCCGACAAAACAAAAAAATTTTATTTTCCCATGAAACTGAGAACTATTTTCCCGCCAAAACAAAAAAAAAACCATTTTTTCGTCAAACTTGAAATTTTATTTTCCTACCAAAACAAAGAAATTGCATTTTCCCGCAAAAACCAAAATTCACATTATCCGGCGAGAACATGTGTTTTTCCGCCAAACAGATAAATCAAGTTTCTTCACCAAAACAAAAAAAAAATTCATCTTCGTGCAAAAACAAAAAAAAAATCGTATTTTTCTGTCAAAACCAAAAAAATTATTTTCCCGCAAAAATCGAAAAATCGTCTATTCCCGCTAAAACAAAAAAAAAATTATTTTTCTCGTCAAACCAAGAACCACGCCTTCCTACCAAAACCGATAAACTACAATTTCCGGCAAAAACTAAAAATTGCATTATTTCCTGAGAAATTGTGTGTTTCCGCGAAAACTAAGAAATTACATTTTCTCGCGAAAACTAAAAAATCACATTTTATGTCAAAAATTGAAAATTTGCATTTTCCATCAAAACCGAGAAATTGCTTGTTCCCTCAAAAATCGAGAAATTTTATCAAAACCGAGAAATTGCATTATCCGCCAAAATCGTCAAATTACAATTTTTCGTGAAAACTAAGAAATCACATTTTTCCCGAAAATCATGAAATCACATTATCCATCAAAAGCCGAAAATTTGCATTTCCTATCAAAACCGAGAAATTCTATTTTTCGTCAAAATTGAAAATTTGCATTTCCCTTGCATTTTCTCGTCAAAACTAAGATATTTTATTATTGCGTCAAAATCAATTTTTTGTTGTTTTTTCACCAAAACCAAAAATTCACATTTTAACGCCAAACTCGAGAATTCGTTTTTTTCCGCCATAACCGAGAATTTATATTTTCCTACCAAAATTAAAAATCACATTTTCCTACTGAAACCATTCTATATGTAATGAGAAGGGAAATTATTAGGCATCAAACCATATATGATATTTGTTTTGAAAGACGTGACTTTACATTGGTGTTTGTTCAAAAATGGGATCTATATATTCATAGATGCACATTCAACCCAAAAAAAATAAAAAAACATATACGTGGTGTATACAGCATGCATATACATATATATATATAACTATAGAGAGAGGAAGAAACAGAGAGAACGCGATAGAGAGAACAAGGAGAGATGAGGAATAGGTGATGAGAGAGGAGGATATAAGTGTGGGTTTGTAATTTGTATTCATAAACATCCACGTGAGGAATGTTTGGAGGCATTCCAAAATCACAACTAACATTCTTTTGTTTGCTTCCAAATGTTTTTATTTTATAATTTATAATGTTAGTTTAATTGGGTTTGTAAATAGGTATCTATATTTTATTATTTGAACTTTTATGAATGAAATAAGTGATGTATATTAATATTTTAATTTGATTGGTAAATGTCTTTAAAAAGCTCCAAAATTGTGTTTTTATTATATTGATTCTAAATAGGGCAATCAGCATAATGGTTCGAACTCACTATAACATTTAGAGTTAATTACATTTAAAGGAACTTTATCACTTTCCAATTATAGCCAAATGCACTTTGAATGAATTATCCTAACATATTAATAATTTTTATCTTTTCTAAAATCATAAAAATTATTGACGGAGGCTACTAGGTTTGTCGAGGTCGAGCGAGAGCCTGGGAAGGTTATCGATCTCGTGGCCAGATGAAGACGAGGAGGAGAGGGAAAGACGCGAAGAGGCGATCGAAATCGATTCGGAGATGTCGGATTCCTTCAGCAACAGAGAAGCATCAGCCGCCGGCGACGAGACAGAGGAGGATTTATTGGATCCACGGTGAAGAAAATGCTTGAACAGCGATGATTTGATGGTTGGGGAAGAAGACGAAGTGGCTTTAACTGATCATGTGTCTTGGCGTTGACAAGCCTCTTAAGGCCTAGAAGCTCTTGCCATCGAGTCGTGCAACGAGGAGCTTTCAGGGAGAAGAGGTCGGAGATCTCCATCTCTAGTCTCTGGAAAAAAGTAAGCACCTTCGGTGATTCATCATCAATAAGAAACCATCGTCCAAGTGCAAAGGCGTCATTACATCACGTAATGGACGAACTATAGGTGGACAAACTTTAATTATCTCTCGTCAATTTGTTGCCAACATAGGTGTCCATATTGTCAATTCTATTCTCCGTCATCACCACAACCAATTCTATTAACACCTCCGGAGAAATCTCCAATCAGATTGGTAATTCACGCCTATTCTCGCCTTCACCACCCGCCAACTTCTCTCCAAACTCGCTGTCGCATCAAATTTGAATCTCCCAGTGGTTCTCAGGGACGAAAACCGTGTGACATTCAATAGAGTACAAACTCACGACCAGTACATGAAGAAAGACGGAAGCTTGGAGGTGATGATGGAGACGGAACCGAGTGACTCACAAGTGAAGCACCAACCGACCAGGACGCAATTCAATAGCTGCTCTGTTTCTTGTTCCAATTGCGATGAGAATACTTATTCGATTGGAGAGATTTCATTATACTCTGTAGATTGCTGTTGGGGATCATCGTCACCGTTGGTTTCGTTGTTATACTTATTCTGTATTTTGGTATTCCCTATCGAAATGCTTTTTGCTTATCTTTAGCAAAAGTTTCAGGTATTGTAGTCTCTCAAGTTTCTGTGGTTAAAACTGATGTTGATGATGATGGAAATAGTTATGAAGATGAATATGAAAAGGGTAAAATGAAGAAAGACTCATTTTGGATATCAAAAGAGAAGATGATGTTGCAATTAACAATGTCAAATTAGAGATTAATGTCTCTGTTATTGCAAGAACACATGTATCGTTGGGGAAGCCTAAAATGGCAGTTAAAAAGTTCGATCTTGATTGGGAGTAAAGATAGTAGAGAAGGTAATGTTTTGTCTATTATGAGACTAGATCATATTGGTTAAATTGTCAAACAAGAGTCGACAATATGATATCCACTGAAACGGAGCCACAAAAACATGTCCACCAAAATCATTGATTTTCAAGTGATTTTTAATAGAAACTTCAACTCACATACATTCAATAGCAGCTTTGATCTTTTTCAAAATATCATCAATATAACTATCTATTCAAGTCCATCCACAAAATACAGTCCGTCGGCAAGTCCATCTATAAAACACAGTTCGTCGGCAAGTCCATCTCCGAGTCCATCTATAAAACACAGCTCATCCCAACTGAATATGTGATCATAATATCGTGGATATCACAAAATCTCAAACCATCTATCCCATTTCATCCATCCCATTTCATCCATCACTTTCATAGTTTCTCATCCATCTCGTCGATCTCATTGTTAAAACCATCATCTCCGAGTCCATCTATAAAACACAGTCTATCCATAAATCACAGTCTATCCCAACTGAATTTGTGATCATAACATCGTGGATATCACAAAACCTCAAACACCATCCATCCCATTTCATCCATCACTTTCATAGTTTCTCATCCATCCCGTCGATCTCATCGTCGACAACATAATTCAGGTTGAAATACTCACAGCGCACCAATTACATGAACTCTTTCTGCAAAAATTTCACATTGTCCACTCGATTTAGTACACAATCGAATGGAACTATGGATAACGTCACTGCCTGCGCTGTATATGTGAGAGTTTTTCTTATCATTTTATTTGTTTATCCACACATGATCATCCACACATGATCATCTTGATTATATACTAACGGCTTCTCCATCCACACATACACACTAACACTTCATCCACTTGATTATTATCTACATATAGGCATCCACACATACAAACTTAAGTCTTTTCTATTTTCTCTATCTTCGTTATCTCCGCCTTCGAATGGTGGTGGTGGAAGTTACTTCGAATCTCCGTCACTTTGCCACTTTTGAATCTCCGTCACCTTGAATAGGAGAAGGGGTGGTGGAAGTCACTTCAAATCTCTATCACCCATCACTGCCAGTGCATACAGAAATCTAGAGATCCAAATTGACAATTTTCTGTTAGAATTGTGTCTTCACCAGTTCAACAATTATAATTTCAATCACCATATGGATTGAGTTAAATGCAAAGATTTTGAATCTAGATATCGAACGAATAAGAAAAGGAAGAATAAGAAAAATAATCAAGAAGGAAAATAAAAAGAATAGATATTTGGAGATTCTGTCATCATATTTTGATTGTGAATTCTCGAAAAAGTTGGTAAAAAGAAAAGAGATAGGAAAAAAAAATATTGTGATAAAAATGAAAGAGATAAAAAAGTTAAGTGAATAAAAAGAGAGCAAAATATAGATGGTAATTTTGATTTTTCAATTTTAAAACAAAGTGGAAAGTCCCTTAATATTTTGAGTGTAAATGATAAGTTAGAAGTATCTTTAGGTGTAAATCACTCTAACATTTACACGACCCACCTGTGGCGTCATACATCTCATCAGAGGTGACATACTGACGTGGCCAAATCAAAACCTTTTTTATTATTTTAATACCGCTTTTACCCTTCACTTCAGCCTCTCCACGTAACCCCGACGAAATTTTCTGCGCAGCGATTTCTCTTCCCAGATCCTTCCTTCAACCTTTCTCCACAAACAGCAAAACTTTAATATCCGGCGTTGTTCGATTCAGCGATCGTTGTCGTTTACGAATGGCCGGGAAACTCATGCACGCTCTTCACTACGAGACTTACGGCGGTGGCGCTGCCGCTTTGAAGGTTAATATCTCTTTTTCAATTTCCCTTCGTCCTCGCATTTCTCTGAGCTGGTGTGTTATTTGCTTATTTGATTCTCTTCTTTCTCGATACAGTCTCGATTTCGTTTATGTTTTCACTTTATGGGAGATGTATGTATCTTAGTTAGTGTGTGCATACGAGCAATGATTTTAAAGAATTCGTTGTCTCAATTTTCAAATGAGACGAAAAAGCCTATGAGAGAAGACTAATGTTGAGAAATGAAGGATTGTTTAAAAAAACCATATATCACTCTCTGTTTCTATTAACCTGATTTAATTACTAGATTATCTTCCTCATTTGTATTGAGAATGATGTCTTAGTCTCACTATCTTTCTTCATCTTTGATGCTTATATAGTCACTGACTGATGCTATTTGACTTCTAACTTTGATTTATTTATTCTAGGATCTTATGATTCATTTGACTTTTAAACACAGCTTATGAAATAGGCATTTAGGTTTTGATGCGGTTGATTGCATTATTTGGTCATAGTTTTTATAAGGCTTTAATTTGGATTACTTGTAATAGTTTTTTGGTAGTGGAGGTGGAAGTGTACCAACTGATTAAGATTATTATGTGAAGTTTAGTTCTCTCATATGTGCATTTGTATCTTATTTTAACCAGCCTTTAATTTAAATTACATTGGATTGTTTTTTGGAAGTGGAAATGGAAATATATACACCAACTGATTAAATGGAAATGTGAAGTTTAGTTTTCTCATGTGTTCATTTGTATTTTATTTAAAACGCAGCAGAATTAACAGTTTGTGTAGTGTTTGTGACATTCTCATTTTGTTTGTTGATGCCTTCTTGATGATTTTTGCGTACTCTTTTAATATGTTTTCAGCATGTCCAAGTTCCGGTTCCATTGCCAAAGAGCAACGAGGTTTTACTTAAATTAGAAGCTACTAGTCTTAACCCTGTTGATTGGAAAATCCAGAAAGGAATGATCTGGCCTTTTCTTCCTCGCAAGTTCCCCTGCATTCCCGGTATTCTAATATCTTTGATTTCTTCACTATACTACATGTGCGTAGTCTTTTGATTGAATGGCTTTGGGTTTATTGTCTTGTATAACTTGTGTTCTTACTTCATAGGCATAATATTTCTAAAATTTAGGGATTATCTTGGAATAATAAAATAAAACGGTTCTTTTGCTTAGATGGTTTTGGTTTTTTTTGTCTTGTATAACTTGTGTTCTTGCTTCATAAACATATACGATTTGAAAATTTTGGGGATAATCTTGAACTGATCAAAGCAAAAGGTTCTTTTGGTTTGATGATTTTGGTTTTTTTTATTTGTTTGTATAACTTGTGTTCTTGCTTTATAGACATCTAAGATTTCTAAAATTTGGCATAGTCATTGATAATTTTGTCTTGAACAGCTACTGATGTTGCCGGAGAGATCATTGAGGTTGGATCAGGAGTCAAGAATTTCAAGGTTGGTGACAAAGTTGTATCGGTTCTCAGCCATCTAGTAAGTTGTTTTTTCTCTTACAGACAAGCTATTGCCAAATTCCTTGGAACATGAATAAAAGTTATTAATTGTTTGGGTTGTTTTCAGACTGGAGGTGGACTTGCTGAGTTCGCCGTAGCAAGCGAGAAGCTAACAGTGAAAAGGCCTCCAGAAGTAGGACCAGCTGAAGCAGCCGCTTTACCTGTGGCGGGTTTAACCGCTCTCCAGGCGCTAACTAATCCCGCGGGGTTGAAGCTTGATAGTACTGGCAAGCAGGCGAACATCCTTGTCACAGCAGCATCTGGTGGTGTTGGGCACTACGCCGTCCAGCTTGCAAAGCTTGGGAACGCTCATGTAACCGCCACGTGCGGGGTTCGGAACATAGACTTTGTAAAATCTTTAGGAGCGGATAAGGTTCTTGATTACAAGACTCCCGAAGGAGCCGCCCTCAAGAGTCCGTCCGGTAAGAAATACGACGCTGTGGTACATTGCGCAAATGGGATACCGTTTTCGACATTCGAACCGAATTTGGCAGAAAACGGGAAGGTGATAGACATCACGCCGGGGCCGAGCGCGATGTGGACTTACGCGGTTAAGAAAATAACCATGTCGAAGAAGCAATTGGTTCCGCTTTTGTTGATCCCGAAAGCTGAGAATTTGGAGTTTATGGTGAACCTAGTGAAAGAAGGAAAACTGAAGACTGTGATTGACTCGAAGCATCCTCTGTGCAAAGCAGAGGATGCTTGGGCCAAAAGTATAGATGGTCATGCTACTGGGAAGATCATTGTCGAGCCATGATAGCATGTTGCATCTGCGGTTGTTGACTGTTGTCTATGTTTCTAGAAGCTTATTGTTTGATTCACGTTTTCACATTGCTTTATTTTGTTTTGTTTTATGTACTACCCAAATATGTCGCGAGTTTTAAAAACAAAAACAAACAATTTGAATGGAAAAGTGAGTTCTTGTTCTCCCACATTTGAAATGTTTTCTTTTTATGTTGCATATTGGTATATAATTAATTTGTTGAAAACTTGAATATGGAAATTGGCGCATACATCAATCAATTTATCGACAAATTAGTAGGAATGTTTTTCTGTGGGCATGTTCGATTGGCAGTCATGTTGATCGTTCAACTTCTAAATTTTTTGATCAGGAGGGGGTAATTCAGTGATGTTTGAGGATTCTATGCCTTGACTCAATTCTCAACACACATATGTCATTGTAGCACTTGAGGTGTCAATCCACTTGGAAAGCTAATGACATTTGAGATATATAAAACTTTGCTAAGCTAAGTTAATAGATAATGGTTTTTATATCTAACAACATAGTGACAAACAAAGAAGCAAAACAAAGCAAAGCAACATGAAAAATTAAAGCAATAATAAGAGCAAACTAAACAAGGCAAAAACAGAATATAACTAAGCTACACAAAAAAAACACAAGGTTCAAGACTAAGGCAATGTGACTTTAGGTGGTTCTAAATCACGTTCAAGGTGTGAAGCAACAATCAATACAATATCCCTAGGCAAAGGCTACAATCATAGACTAATCTAATCTCTTGGCACTAATTTCTTAAGATAGGTTTGCTAATCTTTTTTGCAATAGATCAAACATTGACTCACATTCCCATGCATAATCAATATTTAAAAACAATTTCTCCACCAATGTAGTACTAAGCAATAAGCACATTCAAGCAAGAAATATTAGATGCAAAGATTCATGATTATCTAAACCATCATTTTCCAACAATGACCTCATTCAGGCATTTCAACAAACATTTAGTGTGCAACTGAAAATCTAAGATCAACTTCTCCAACAAAGAAGTACTAAGCATTAAACACAATCATACAAAAAGAGAAATGTAAAGATCTAACACCCTAACAGCTTAAACAATCATTAGAACTACCCTAATCTACCTTAATCTCAAATCTAAAAGTTACTACTCACTAAACATTGCCAAAACCACAAAATCCAGAGAAAAAGTATGATTAAGGATATTTAGGAAGAAGATTAGACAATAAAATATTAATATAAATGCAGAAATTTACTGAAATAGCAAGATATATACAAAGTTTCACTCAAAAGAGAGAGTTATCATCCTTAGAAAGAATAAAAGATAATACATGCCTACAAAATTAGGTCTATAAGATATTTATTGTGTTTTTGGGAGACCGTAGAACATAGGGGCAAAAAGGTAATTTGCAGTTTTTCGGATCTCCCAACATTGAGCAAGCCTGCCAGATGTTGCTGCTCGATGTTGGTTGTCCTGTCTTTGGATATCGGGATGGCATGCCCAATGTTGCTCCTGGTCTAGGTCGATGTTGCAGCACGACTCTCGTAGATCTTCACGTTGGACTCATCATCTACTTGATGTTAGTCTTGGTTCAGTCCGATGTTGGTACATCGACCACCACGTCCAATGTCTTCAGAGCGGTCTCACAGAATTCACTGTAACGTTTGAACCGTTGATAGGAATGACTTGCAACCAACACCACACGAAAGCTAACACACTTGGCTACAACTTTCATGAATATTTGTAGAGCTGAATCGAGACGGAGATCCTTCGTCTGAGCTGGTCTTTCAGTCTCTGTTTCTGGCCACTTCAACAAGATACACTTGGCTTTTAAATGCCTTGGCTTGCATCCAGTTCATCTCCCATGCCCCTCAGAGTTCACAAACACTCCAAAACCACCTTCCATGAACTCCTAATGCACAAAACATGCAATACTTGTCCTAAAACACACTAAGCTCCAAATGAATGCAAATAGGACCAGAACAATTGAAAATGCATGCTTAGAGACTAAAACCTAGTGCTAAATGCATGTTAGAATGGTATAAATATTGAGTATTTCATTCCGCAACTTGATTTAAAATTAAAAAATATATTTTTATTTGTTTTTGTTTAAAACTACAAAACAATACTCTTGCTTTTCTCCTAGCTACAAGCATTCTCTCTAATCGACATGATATATTTGCTCACATTCCGGGCGAAGGTATGACCATCAAAATCGTGAGCATGTAGGTTCCAGAAGTTATGTAACACTCGGAATCAACCAAAGTCTACACATGGATTGCTGATCGATTCCACGAGCAGCAGGACTAAAGGTAGGATCCCAAGAGCTATTCCTTGCGAGGGATGCAAGCTTCTACGCAAAAATTCAAGTGTCCGATTCCACAAAACACTAAAAAACTCGCAAAAACATAAGAAAAGTGACTCCACACAACTCTAATTGATATAAGAATGGCTTCCACCAGTTCTCATACTTCTTGATTCAAGACCTTCAAGCTAATGATGGAGGAGGTTGAATTGATGGTAACCGGTTTGTTGGCTGATTCCACATGCAACAGTTTAGACTCAAATCTCACAAGGGCTATTCCTCGCAAGGGATAAGAAAACTACACATAACTCTCAAGCTATGATTTCACAAAACACTTGAAAACTCGCAAGAACAAGATTGATTGAAGGATAACTTCTTTGGAAACAAAGCAAATAATTTTTTTTTTGATAAAATGATATAAATTTTTTTAGAAATGAAGAGAGAATTTTCTCTAAAAGCTTAGGCTTTGTTTATTTTTGACTTTAGATTCATTTGAGTCTACTCATTCTTGGAATAGAATTGTTTGTGTGATTCATACAAGTCTACTTCCAACAGCTGAGCTGAGTGAGTCAGTCAACCCACCGATTGAGTGAGTCAATCATAAGTTTCACCACCATCTCACCTTAATCCTCTTCCGTGCCAAGCTTCTTTGATCAGTTTTAATTATCATGTGTTCAAAGATTGTGTTTCGATTTCCAATCTTATATCACTAATGAACAAATCTCACAAAGAATATTTTATAAAAACTTTATATTTTAATTTCCAAAATGGTCTATTTATTACAATGGTATTAGTGAGCTTTTTAAAGCTCTTACAAAATATGATTTTCATAATAAATAGATTTTTAAAAAAATATTCAAATTTAAATAAAATATATTAATTAGAATGGTCAAAGAGCTAGTGTAAATGGACTGATAAAATATTGTAAATTGACCACACCTTTATGATTTTGAAGACTTAAATTTTGTGGTTTGAAAAGTGGCTTAGGAGGTTAGTGTCCTTTATGAGATGCTGGTTGAACAAATGTGAATAATGCATCTTGAATAGAACTTTCCCGGAATAGAACCAAGTTGATCCGTTTTGGGAGATGGGGCATATCTTCATATCTTGGACTTGTTGAAACCAGGAGAGACCCAATAATAATTTCCAAGTCGTCTCAGGTCGATAAAGTTGCTGAGTTGGGCTGTGCAGCTCGATATCTGGTATAATCGCATAGTTAACTCTAAAACAAGTCCATCTACTTGTATGATCAATAACTTCCAAGTATGTATTGATGTGAATCTAAATTTAGGGGCTTCTATGTTGGACCGAGATTTCACAAAAATCTGGTTTGTAGCTTAGTTCCTCCCAGTCCGGTTGGAATCTTTCATTCAATGTACATATGTCCGATTCGGTTAAGCTCGAGACCACCGATTTTGTTAGCTGAATAACTTCTTCATAAGAATTGTGATTTGGATGATTTAACTTCTTCATGAATCCTTGTTGATCCAAGCTTCTGGAACAGGTTGATTTGTTGCTTAAATCCTTCTGGTAGGATTGATATGCTCTCTCAAAGGCACATTTCTCCTGGTCGGACCCTTGGTGGCTGGAGTGTCATATTTGGTAGAGTTCTAGTTCAACTATTGGTTTGATGACCGCATCAAGAAAGATACCCGTTTGAATTTTGTATGTAAAGGCTCTGATGCAAGAGTTTTTGGGCTCTTGATGTCAATCATCCACGCTTGTACTAGTCAGTTGTAGTACATCATAGGGTTTTTATCAATCCAAATGGGTTTTAGTTGAAAGCAGAAGAGTTGGGAGTAAAAATCCTTAAGTCAAGCAAGCACATAAGGTTTTTGTTGCCTAAGCAACCAATCTAACACCTTAAGATGATCAAGCAGCAAAGAGAACAAAGAAAAAGGTAATTTAAACAAGATTAAGTAAGCAAAACAGAGCAAAACAGAGCAAATCCGAATTATATCAAAGGAGAAAAGCAAGTTCCTAGATGTGGTTATTGACTTTGGGGAATCTAGAGACTAACTAAGGCTGTTTCAAACAACATTGATCAAGCAAACAAGCTAGCAATGATGATTCCTAGACATAGAGTTCACAAACAAACAAGCTAGATCCAATCTCTTGTAAAATAGTCCTTTGCTAAACACCTTAACAAGAACTAACTCTCATTAGTGCTAAAACATTCAGCAAGCATTAATAAACAACTCTATTCAAGTCAAAATGCTCCTCAAACAGTCAATATTTTGAGCCAAGGCCAGCAAATCCTCTATCAAACAAGATCATCATTTCATCAAACACTTGGTGGGCATAAGAGAAAGCCTAAATTCTAGATAAGTGTGATACAAGACAAATCTAGTTTAAGAACAGATCAATAGAGAGGAACCCATATACCGAAGCACTAAACAAGCCTTAATCAAGTCTTAAATTCCCCTAATATACTACATCTAGAAACCCTAAGCAAACTACTAACTAATACTCATGTTTAACACCAAATCACAAGAGGAAAATATGCTAATCATGATTAAAAGAGAGATTAAAGAAAGATTAAAGGCAAATATCAACTTATATTAAATAAAGCAAATGATTTGTCTTACAAACTCAAAGAAAATGCTTAAGAACAGTAAATTGACATGACTTCTAGAAAATACAGAAAAGGGGCTATTTATAGCCAAAAGAAGGAAGCCCTAGAGTAATGTCAAAAGTGTAAATAAAACAGGATCGGACTGGGTTTATATCGATCGGTTGTAACGGTCTAGGCTTGATCGTTACGAATCATATCAGTCTGGAGAGTGATCGATACAGTGACCGAAATACACACGGTGTGTTTGTATCGATCATTCCTGATCGATACCTTTGATCGATACACCTTGTATCGATCACTCTTTGACCGATAGCCTCCGTGCACAGACCGAAAAGCTCTGTA